CTTATTAGATCAGAATGCTTGAAACACTATGTATGCACAGTTTGATTGCGTACTCTGTGTATTGACCATAGTGGCTCACATTCTCCCTCCCTTAAAATAGATCCAATCCCTGTCCACCTCAAATTTTACCACTAACCTTGTATGCATTGCGAGTTTGGCAGCGTTCAGTGAAGTTCGCCTCTCTGTATTTCGCTGTACGATGATGATGTGTCTATTTGCTGGAGTGACCTCTCCAGGAGCTAGTGTGGATAATCAAAGGAAGCTAGTTGCCTAAGCTGTCTTGTGAGACTAAGCTTCGTCTGGCTCCCATCCACTGACTTTTCGGATATGATTGGATCTGCGGCTGTGAGGAGCCATCCTGTGTGGCTCGCATAGCCATGGAGGCACGCAAGCCATCACACCACGTCAAGCTGTAGTATCGTCAAGTATGGTGCAGTCTCGTAGCAACATGCTACCGTAAATAGGTCGAAGAATATGGAACCGTCTGTTCGGTAGTCGGAAGATGGGTTCTTCGAGGGAACAGTAACCAGATAGATAACACCAATAAGGATAAATCAGTGGAATAAACTAGAGCTATCTGCCAAAACAAACTTGAGGAACACTTACCTCATATAGGTTAGTATAGTTAACAGTACAACATTCGCAATACCCGGACGGTTCTTCTTCCGCAACTTGTCTGGACCGACTGTAAACATGAAATGAGTGGGGAAACTGCAATTGAGTACTGTTGGTTCCGGAAGAGACAACAATTCAGTGGCAACAGATCAAGGAGTTTAAAGAAATCCACGTCACAAGTCTAGATAGTTTCAAGGCGGTGAACAGGCGGCACGAGGAACATCACAAGTGTGTAAATGACATGATTGTGCCCCAAGAAGACAGCAAAAGAAAGCAGATCAATAAGTACAACAGCAGTGTAAATTGAAGATAACTGAATCGATTTGCATGCCTTGGTTCGACTAATAGCATAGTGATTATGATACGAAGTCCGCAGGAAAGGTTTCCGAATGTAACCCG